GGGAGAGGGTCTGGCCCACGCTGCGCCTGGGCTGGGACTGGTCCCGCCGGCGCAGGGTAGCAGGAAGCTCGCCACCAAAAGTTTGTATTTTTATTTAGTTCACACTGAATTTATAACTTTATATTTGGCATAATTATGCTGCTGAATTTGCTAAGAACGTGGTATAGGTTTTATTTGCTAAGATCTTATTTTGCATTGCTTGTTTCTTAATTTTCTTTATAAATTTGCTGCTACTGCAAATGGAACATTTGTTTCACTATTTCTCATAATTTGTGTATATGGAAATTACTTATTATTATTACTTAGTACACGGTCTACAGGGTCTCACTACACAGATTGGACTCGTAGTGATCCTTCTGTTTTCAGCCTCCCAAGTGCTGGGATTACAGGTGCGCACCACCACACCCAGTCTGTGGCCATCTCAGAGCGCCCCCCCGGGGGGGGGCACATTCATTTTTTTCTAATTGTGGGGAGGCTGTGTGCCACATGGCACAGCATGTGGGGCCAGGGATGGAATATATATTAATTTTGAATTCTATTACTTTATTAAATGATCTCAATTTTTCATGTCACTTTTCAGTTTGCTGTTTGGGATGTGTGCGGTAGAGTGTGGTTTTCAAATCTAGCCTCCAAAATGCTCTAGCCCTGTACCTTCTGTTTACAATGTGCTGCTGATACTCCTCCATCATCAAGGAGGTGGCTGTTTGCCTCCCTCTAAAATCTGGGCAGGCCTGTGGCCACAGCAGAAGGGGCACTGTGTGGTCTCTGATACTGAGTCATGTGAAAAAGCAACCCTTCTCCCTGGACTCGGTGGGGCCAGGCCACCACACTGCAAAAAAGCCGAGATGGAGATGACAGCCACCCCATGAGATGAGGCACAGTAGTCACATGGAAAGGGCGCATGTCACTGTGACTGCAGCTAAGGTTGCAGTCACATCCAGCCATAGTCACTGGATGTTCAAGTACAGCAAGTCTCAAGGGAATAACTTAGTCCCGCCCTTCGAGTCACCCTAGTAGGTACCTGCTTCTAAGCTCTGCCTAGGCTGTGGATTTGTTAGCAAAGTGAATGTTGTTCTAAGCCAGTACGTTTTGGGGTGGTTTACCGGCAGTAAGAAAAAACTAGGGCAGGTTTTCTGTATGTGCATTTGTTTAAAATCATATGAACAGAAAATTGTGATAATTTGTTTTCTTATTTGTAAAGCTCTAATTCATTTTTTTCTAATTGTGGTCGAGATAAGGATCACACACGCAATGTGATGGGTTTCCCTCAAAATCCAGCATGACGCACTAATCAGTGTCCCTCTTTTCTAGTAGTAATGCACAAACAATGAAAGCTGTGGATTGCACTTCAGAGTGCAATCTGAGTGTCACACTCAGATCATTGGCGCTCTAGAAGTGCTGATGGCCCTGGATTTTTGTTTTTGAGGGGGCCAGTTATCTACTGTCATTGTGTGGTGGTTGATACATTGTGTCAACTTGAAATGTTGGAAGCTTGGCTGGATCCATGTGTCCATTTCACACTCCGGGGCATGGGGGTCTGCCCTAGGACAGGGAGGGCCCGCCCTCAAGTGACTCAGCACAAAAAGGATATAGAAAGAGGTTGAGGAAGGCTTCTGCATGCGCCAGTTCTGTGGAGGCACTTGATTGCCACAGCTGCACCACTTCAGAGGAGCTTAGATCTTCGCAGCAGTCCCCAGCTTTCTTGGAGGAATTGGAACCTTGGCCCATCACTTCACAGCCATACCACTTCGGAGGAGCTTGATTTTCCCAGCCACTCCACTTTGGAGGAGCTTGGATCTTTGCAGCGGAGCCCCAGTCTTCAGTCTGAATGGAAGGGAGGGTGAGAGGCTTGACAGACGCCACGACTGCTGCTCCTCCTCTGCTCTGCTCTGCCGCCACGACTGCTGCGCTCTGCCCTGGAGCCAGACAAGTATGGACTGAAACCTCCACTGTGAGCTACATAAACCTTTCCTTTCTTAATTTTCGGTGTTGGGTATTTTGTCCCAGAAATGAGCAAAAAGTAACACAATGAGACACATTGGCATGCATTATCTTACCAAGGTATCTTACCGAGGTATCTGGGGGTACTTTTTTTTTTTAGTGGAACCCGTACTTTTTTTTTTTTTTTAGTGGATTGAATTTAGGCCCTTGCACTTGCCAGGGAAGCGCTTATCCTACTGAGCTATCTCCCTTGCCCCCTGGGGGTACTTTCTTACCAAGGTATCTTACTGAGATATCTGGGGGTACTTTCTGCACCTTGCCGAGAGCATGACCTGATCAGTGTAACAGAAGCTTGATGTCCCATGGAATGATTGTACAGTTGAGGTCACTGTTATGGACCACTGAAACAGCTTTTTAAAGATAGTGAAGGTTCTGTATGCTGTTTTCTTTTTCAGGACAAAAGAAAGTTGTAATAGTTTCACGCTGTATCCTAGGGCTTACACTCATGCACTTCACTGTGGAAGACAGCTTCTTTGGAGGATTGACATAAATGAGTTAATGTTACTTCATTATCATTCTCCAGAAGCCATCAGTCTTTGTACACAAGACATGTCGGTTTGCTTGGGCTGACATAACAAAATGCCACAGACTGGTGGTGGCTTAACCCACAGAGGTTTACTTTGACACAGTTCCCAAGGCTGGAAGCCCTAGTGTAAGGTGTCAGAGGTTTGGTTTCTCTAAAACTTTTGTTCTTGGCTTGTGGTTGGTACTCACCTGATCTTTCCTCCAGACTTACTGGTGTCTCTTTGCCCCATAAAATTTCCCCTTCTTATAAAGATACCAGTCGGACTGGTGTAGATCCCATCCTAGTGGCCTCATTTGAGCTTTATCGCCTCTTGAAAGGTTCTGTCTCCCAGTGGGTCACCTTCTGACGTACTAGGGCTTAGGGTGTGGGGCACTGACATCTGAATTTTAGGGGGAAACGACTTAACTGAGAAGTCAAAATCTACCAATCTTGGTACTTTTAAGTCTCTGATGGTGGACCATCAAACTGAACCAATTATTAGAAGGGTGTGGTATTGCTTTGCTTCTGTTTTGATAACTTTTTGTCTGACCTTTTCTACTTACTCCTCCTGCTCCATGAAGCAGAGAACCAATATAGTGCTTCTTCTAGATGCAGTCTGTATTTCCATCAACCATGTTTTCCAAAATGGGGCACATAAAAATATAGAGAGAGTGAATTCACCATATGGAACTTTGGCCCAAATCACACACTGCCTCATATTAAAATCACAACACTTCTTTTTGTTTACTATTTTAAGTGTATTTTTGCTTATGCTCTCAGTTTCCAAAATTATTCATTTTGTGTCAGTTTTCAAATATACAGTATAGCATTGGGTGTTCCTTTGAGAGGGAATCCAAAAATCTTTTTCTTTCAATACATGAATTAAACTTTTTAGGTTTACTGATGTCAATGTTATACCACAGTTCTTTCATAGCACCCTATATATATGTGTTCCACATAATTATCAGTTGAACTTTCTCCTTTAGGCTGAAATTTTTAATAAAATGTTAAAACCGGTGTTGAGGCCGGGGAGATGGCTCAGTGGAATAAGCGCTTCCCTGGCAAGCACAAGGGCCTGGGTTCAATCCCCGGTTCCAAAAAAAAAAAAAAAAAAAAAAAAAAAAAAAGACAAAACAAACAAACAAACCAAAACCCAGATGTATACTATATACTAAGACACACACATTTCCTAACCATTAATGTAATATCTACTTTGAGGGCCAGCCAGATAGCTCAGCAGATGAAAGTGCCTGCTTATGCAGACGTAGGGGCTAAGGGCTTGATCCCACCATGCTGTACTGGCCCTGCCCCTGAGGCCTGCTGAGATCACAACTGAGACTGGGCCTGGTGGTGTGCACCTGTAATCCTTGTGTTTTACAGGCTGAAAACAGGAGAATCACTACAAGTCCGATCTGTGTTGTGAGACCCCATTCTAAATACATAGAAAGAAAGAAAGAAAGAAAGAAAGAAAGAAAGAAAGAAAGACAGACAGACAGACAGACAGAAAGAAAGAAAGAAAGAAAGAAAGAAAGAAAGAAAGAAAGAAAGAAAGAAAAAGAAAGAGCAAGCTAGCAAGCATATCTACTTTGGATATCTGTAAGTAAATTACCAGGACCATCCTAGAAACCTCTCTCCTCTATTCAGGTAGGGTCAGGGACTTCGGCAGTAGCTGATGAGAATAATGAGGCTTTCTTAGTATGTGTATGAGAGAGGAAAAAAAGAGAGATTTCAGTCATTTCTTAAAGTACATCACAAATTAAATTTTAATAATAATTCTTAAGTAAATGTTTTTATTTTAATGTATTTGGTACAGTCTCACTACACAGTTCAGACTTCCAGTGATCCTCTTGTTTTCAGCCTCCCCAGCACTGGGATTACGGGCATGTGCCACCATACCCAGACTTGGTGGCCGGCTCAGCATTCCTGGTGGTGTGACCATCATGGCATGTGGTGCCAGGGATCAAACCTTGTCCCTGCACTTGCCTAAACAGGCACTTAGTCTGCTGAGCTATCTTGCCCACCCTAGTAAATGGTTTCATATCACTGGTTAATCTGTCTTCCCATGGACAACCAACCTCTACGTTTGTATTAAGTATATTTTGTAACTCATATAACACTATATTTCCCTAATTTAAAAATGGTTAAAGGAATGGAGATGTGTTATGAACTTGGTGTGTTCCAACTCCACACAAAAAATGTAAACATTATGTCCTGTGAACGTGTACAAATAAAAATTAAACAGTTATGGTCAAGATTTTATAATTAGTTTTTTGAAATTATTTTAAAACATTCCTTTTGAAAATCGGAAACTTTTAGAAAGAATAGGTACAGTAAACACACTTTCAAGAGCACACCCATGTTAGGTTCTTGAGAGGGACTGTACTTAGGTTTGGGTTGTCTGGTCTTTATTCAAGTTTGCATCTGGGAAGACTGTCACAAAGGCAAATCAGAAGATCCAAGCACATGGGCTGGGGAGATAGCTCAGTAGAATAAGTGCTTCCCTGGCAAGCACCAGGGCCTGAGTTCAAAGCCCGGTTCCACCAAAAAAAGAAAAAAAAAAAAAAAAAAAAAAAAAAGAAGAAGATCCAAGCACAGTCTGTGTTTTGACTAAGTTGATGCTATTTTCACTAATGTTGACCACGGAGGCAACTGTAACCATCAGGACACCGAAGCCAGCTGCTCTCAGGCTAGAAGTGAGTGGCCCACGTGTGTTACTCCAGCTGTATCAGGACAGAACACATCCGTGCCTGGCTCCCCAACGTCCTTCTGTCTTCTGTGTGGCTCCCAACGAGACACACAGTCACATTTCATTCTCCCTTGGCTAAAGGAATTAGGAATGCAAACATGAAAATCCCAAGATTGAATTATGAAACTAGAAAATAAAAATTAAGATGTTATCAGTAGTGTATTTGGAAAGAACCCTTTAAAGCACAATGTGGGTGATTTTAGAAACCAGTGTATTGTACATGATAGATATTTATATATCAGGGTGTCCTCAGGGGCAGGGAGGGCTGATGCCGTAGCTTCCATCTGAGGTTTCTCTCCTGAATGGTGAAGGCCCAGTGAGGAGGAGACCAACGGTGGCTTAAACCTGCTCTTTCCTTTATAGTTGGTCTCATTCCAACTTAGGCTTCTCCTTCTCTTCTTCCATACCTAGAAGTAAAAGCAAAACATTTTATTTCAGCGTCAAATTAAATTGCACGCAGGTGTGCCGAAACCATGCCCCAAACCTCACCCCCTCCTTCACTTTCCCCATCTCCCCTCCTGCGCCTCACTGCTAGCTAAGAGGGAAAAGCCATTTGCAGCTTGCCCTGGGAACACCCTTATCCCCACCCTCTTTGCATCACATTCTTTCTGGAACACAGCAGTTCCCCGGGCTTCTGGGACACAAGGTGACCCTTGGCTTGTGGAGTTGGCATGGAAACCCCGCAGCAAAGGACTTCTTCACCAGATTCTAGCAACAGGGTCCAGAGGCCTGGGCCTTTCAAACAGACTTCATTTTTTAATTTTTTATTTATTTAATTTTTTTCAGACTTCATTTAAAAAAAAAATATTCATTTCTTAAAAGCTAAAAACATCTTTTATTCATGAATTTACTTTTATTTAAAAAAATTTTAAACTTCATAGGAAGCTAGCTAGTTATAAGAACTTTATTTTCATACACATTTTTATTCTTGAAAAACTTTTTTTTTTTTTTTTTACAACTCTGGGGATTAAACCCAGGGCCTCGTGCACACTAGGAAAGCACTTCACTGCTAAGCTACACCCACCTCCGCTCCCACTTGTACTTCAGCTCACACTGTCCTCCGGTCAGCCCATCACAGACCTCGGGGGTGTCCCTAGCCAAGCACCTGCCTGTCCTGTGCAGTGAGTCATCAATGGTGTTTCATTCTCTGGGGAGGGAAGCGTTGGTGTCATTCTTAGGCATGTTAGCTCCACTTGACAAACCCTCCCTGCTTTGTGTTTTGTCTCTAGTGAAACATTTTCTAATTTTACAAAATTCTCAGAGTATACTTGAGCATCTGTTTCAAGAGCAAGCTTTCAACAAAGGAATTCAGAATGCCCCATTGAAGGCTTTTTTAGTATTCATATAGAATCGCTAGCTCCCAGAGCACTGGACTTTTACCTGAGTTCATTCCTAGCACTTGAACCAGTGTCTGTCTCAGGCTGGTTGCATGTGGGGAGGGCAGTGAGAAGGGAGAGCAAGGGTAGGGTGGGGGCTGAAACAGTTGGACCAGCAGGAAATTGGAAACAGAAATTGGGCCTTGCAATAGCATAATCTTTTAGCCCAATCCAAAAGGGTCATAATTCTAAACCTTAAATTAGGAAACCTCCTCCCACCTCCCACTGCAGCATTCACGGGATCAAGTAAGAGTTTGATTTTCTATCTGGAATCTATTTCCTCCAAGGGCTCTCCTGCTGATGGGCTGCAGTGGTGGAATCTTCATGGAAAACCGAATGCTTCATTGGCCAAGCAATGGCCGTGACTCATCCACATGGCTGACACTGACAAAAGTTCTACAATCTGAGGTACAGGATCTCAGGATAAATCCTGAGGGGATTTCACTGACCTTATCAGACCCAAAAGCTACAACTCTTGTTGCATAGGTCCTGCTTTACCTTGGTCTCAACCATCCAGCAGAAAAGTATAAAAACAAAATATAAGAAATAGAGCCATGCTGTTATGTTGAGCTGTAGGGGCTCAAGTCAACAACTTCTGACATTGCCAGTTAAGCGGAAGACCCAATACTATTATGGACTACTGGACTCTTTTAGAATATTTTGCTGAGTTTACACACCTATAATATTCAAATAATGGAACTTAACAAAAAAAGGGGATACAGATGAATGTCGATTTTGTATCTGTGTATTCAAAGTGGTTAGGATAGATATATAGTTACATTCTCTTAATGAATAGAATGATTTGTTCTAATGGTGTTTGTAAATAGGATATCAAGTCCGCATCTTGTACAGCAATTAACCACTAAGAAGAATGTATGTAGTGTGTTAATTATTGAAACTGTCCTACCGATTTGCTTTGAAACTGTCTCATTGCTATTTGTTTATCAATAAAATTATGGCAAAAAACAAACAAACAAAAAAAAAAAAACCAAACAAACCCTGAGTGCTCAATGACCTAGAGGAGGAAATGGCTCCCCACTTCTTTAGTTTGGCAGCTCTGAGGTATGGTGGTGGAGGGGTGGACAGCTTTAAGTGATGTCTGGAAGAACCAGAAGTATAATTTCCACAGAGGAAGCACAAAGAAACCTGCCACAGAACTGATGCAGGTTGTGCTTGTGGAAACAGACTTGGGGATGCTGGGCGACGGGGGGCGAGGGGGTGCTCCTTCTGGGTGTTCCTCACTGCTCCTTCTTCCTTGCCAGTGCAGGGCCCTTTTTTCTAATGCTTTGGGCCCTGTGAATTGCACAAAGGTCAACATAGTTTTTGAGAATTTTATACCAGCAGAAACACAGCCAGCATGGCTTGTAAAGGACAGGGAATGCATGGAATCAGAGAGCAGGGGCTCTGAGGCAGCTCAGTCTCAGTCTCCTTCAGTTCCAGAGGGTGGAGCTCTGCCCAGGACCAGTGAGGCAGAGCTGCTGGGCCCAGAGGTACAGGCTGGGCCACCTCTTTCCCCAGCAGTCTTCAGAACACAACCTCTAGCCAAAGAGGATTATCTGAAGTCTTCAAACGGAAGGGAGTGCTCCCTGCTCACCACCAGGCTCAAAAGCGAACCAGTCGGATTGATATATAGTTACATTCTCTTAATGAATAGAGGGATTTGTTCTAATAGTGTTTTTAAACAGGATATCATGTCTGCATCTTGTACAACAAATAACCACTAGGAAGTTGGTATGCAATGTGTTAATTATTGAAACTGTCCTACCAATTTGATTTGAAACTATCTCATTGCTATTCATTTCTCAATAAAATTATGGAAAAAAAAAAGCAAACCAGGATCCGTTCTCCTTTTGGAAGATGCGTGTATTCTACGCCTGCTGCACCACTGCGTTTCAGAAGCAGGTAACATGTGCTGTTCCACAGGTTCACAATCAGCTGGTGGGCAATTCTGCTTCAGGATGAATCAGACCCAGAGTCTGTCTCCTACCTGATTCATGTCATTTTTAAGATGTGATGTTTGGATTTAAGAGTTGATGTTGAAAAAATGGGGAGCGGGGAGGGGCAAATATGTTTTGCATGCACAATAGATGTGAATTTTGCAAGGGGAAAGGGTGGAGTGTTATGGGCTGGACCATGCCCTCCTCACAATTCATAAGTTTAATTTCTAATCCACAGTGTCTCAGGGCCTTATTTGTTTTTTTTTTTATTTATTTTTATTTATTTTTTTTATTTATTTGAGAGAGAGAGAGAGAGAGAGAGAGAGAGAGAGAGAGAGAGAGAGGTGTGTGTGGCCAGCTCAGCCCACCAGGGGGCGGGGCTGGCTGGCATGTGGTGCTGGGGGATCGAACCGCGGTCCCTGATGCTTTTGCTAAGCTTGTTCCAAGTAGGTGCTTTAGACCACTGAGCCATCTCTCCAGCCCGTCAGGGCCTTATTTGGATGAGATCTTTGCAACTGTAAAGCAGTGTCATCAGATGTGGTTGGTGTCCTTATAAAATGGGAAGTTGGGGAGTGGCCACATGTATAGGGGGAACGCTGGTGGCCATGAGGACGGTAACTACAGCCCTGGAGAATCTCGGTGTAGATGTTTTCGTCCCATATCTCATAAGGAACCAGTCTTCTACACCTTGTGGGACTTCTAGCCTTTGCCTACATGGCCAACAAGTTCCCACTGTGGAAGCCTCCCAGTTTGCGGGGTTTCCTTAGAACCTGCCCTTCCCCAAAGTCATCATGAGTCACTTTCCTTTCTTGCAAGCAAGTATCTGCTTGTTCACTTAGCCTATTTTAAGGGTTCCTGAAGGTTCCTGTTTCCTTGACAAGTCGGTCTCATCTGTTATTTTGTTAAACTGAGTCTCGGGCTCTGAGTGACATCCCGGTGCTCTAGGTTCCCGACACAAGGGGAGGCCACTCTGATGGTTCACTAGAAGGAGCACTGGATGGAGTCCTGAGCAGAAGAGGGCTTCAGCTCCTACTGGGCGGTGCGTGGCCTCAGCGCTGTGAGGCGAAGGCTGGGCGATCTCACGTGTGAGTCCAGCCTTGGAAATTTAGTGAGCTCCTATTTCAAATGAAAGCCCCCCTGAAAAAAGAAACCCAAAAAAGAAGGTTGGGAATTTGGAGTTCAATCACCAACACTGGAGGAAAGAATGTTGGGTCTGCTACCAAACTATTTCGGTGGATCACTGAAGACATCTGGGCCTCAGCTACTTTTGGTAAAAGGTAAAGCCCTTGACAGCTACTTTGATAAAGCCCTCCACAACCCCTTGATGGATACCATCTGTGGGAAGGCCAGGGTTAGTGACCTTTATTATAAATGGAAAGATTACCACTTGGCAGAAAAA